TCCCTACATGACAGATCTTTGTTTTAACCAACCTCTTTCCCCATCTTTGTCTCATTTCCAAATGGAGTAACCTTTCTGTTTCCAAGCAGCCAATCAGATTTGTTGTTTTTGGCTGCCCTGGTACTGCATTCCATCTGTTTGTTGGAAATAACTACAAATCTATTGCTTTCTAGATATCTAGTAAGGGCTGCTCCCAGAGCTGTGTGATTAATTGAAATAAAACTGAACTAAAAAAAACTGCTTGTTTCAGAGTGAAGCATGGCATTATAATCATACACATAAGCAGATCATTATGCTCCAGTGATTGCAATTTCTCAGAGTGGCTTGGTTGTTTTTTTTAGAAATTTTTATATTTAGTAATAATTAATTATAATTAATAACAATTATTTAGTAATAATAACGATGATGATGACGTTGATGTTGAAGATTATTTAATAGCGCCCCCTCTCTAAAATCACCAAATTTAACAGCCTTACAAATAAGCAAAGCAAAAAAAAAAAATTATATATATAGGGCCTATATGCAAACTACTCCCCTCTTAATCGGTATTGTAATAAGTTTTTCCTGCTTGATGGCCTTACTCAAAGTTCAAATAAGTTTTTCGGCCCCAGCACACAGTAACATAATTTTTCTGTCACATGTTAATAGCGGTGTGTGGGCAGCCGAAGTGGTGTTGTGCCACAAACCGCTGAAGATGATGTTCGGGGAGGCGATGTCTCGCAGGTGTCAGCGAATATTTATGTCAGTCTTACAAAACGTCAGGAAGCAGCAGGTCCTCGGTTCTGTCTGGAAACACAGCAATGTTCTCGGGAACCTGAGCTGACGTGCTCCAGATGGCTCATTGCTGGTTCTGTGTAATTCCAGACCAGGATCGTGAGCAAGCGCCTCTGTCATTAACGTCCATTTTTAACACTGCGGTGTAAGAGCCTGAAAATGGCTCTCTGATAACATCTAGCAAGAGGTTTGGCATGGATAAGGCACAAGCATTCAATAAAAGTCAAATTACACATTCGATTTCCAGGGCCATTTCAAGTGATCCTCGTGAAGAGTGCTCATGCCTGGAATGGAAAAATCATACCAGATTGATTCCAGCAGTGATAGTAATCACTAATATGCAGCTATCTGTGTAATAAGCTTGCCATGTCATCCAAAATTAGCCGTGCTACCATGACTGCATGAGAAATGCTAATATAATTGGACAGGAACTTTTATAGAAACCCCAGCTTATGTATAGACTTTTTTATGTCCCTGCTCAGATAAATGACACAGAGCAGTCCCATATGTCCCTACACAGATAAATGACAGAGCCGTGGTTTGAATACAGATGAGCGCCATCCATGAGATGAACGTTTCTGTGATCACTTTTTTGCTCATCCTTGGTGCTGCTGATTTATTTTAGCCGCAGATTCATCCAAGCAGTGTCCGGGTCGTTTCAAAACAGGTTTTCTACTTGACTAGGCCTTTGCAGCGTGTCTGCCCCAACACACAAAGCAGTGCTCCTCAGCCCTGAAGCGCAGCTGACATGACAACGCTTTGGCTGCTCACTTGTTCAGACAGGAGAAACAGATGAGGGAGATGATATGTCAGTCTTCTCGACTACCTCTGGACTAAAGCCTCCTGGAGTCTCTGGATGCTTTGGCCGGCACTTTACCTGGCATTACCTTTTGCAAGCTCGATTCCAAAACCTAGTGAGCTATTGCTTACATAGGCCGCAGTTGACTCGAGATTGACAATGTAATGCATTCTTGCTGAATAAAAGCAATGTTCATTTTATTCAAATATTATTGTTATATAGACAACCATCTTTTTTCTATTTTTTTTTTTTCTGAGAGAGGGTGACATAGCACTTTATTTGTGGATGGGTTAAAATGTTTATTTAATGTTTAAAATCTTAAGATATTTTGTCATAGTGCTAACAGATGGGCATTTCTGGACTTCTAAAGCCGGAGAAGTCTTTACATCTTTTTTTTTATAGTCTTTAAGGATTTCCTTATCAGGTAGTAAAGAGATTTCTCCCTCAATCTTTCTTACTTTTTTATTCTCTGCTAAATGGAGGAATGTATTGCACGCAATAGGCTGGAATTTCGATTTGAGTAAGACAGGTGCAGCTCCTCCTCCCTCTGTTAGAATGAATAACTAGTCTCACATCCAATTTATGCTCTGTCTGTGTTGTTAAATGAACTCTGAAGGCCCGCAATAATACAGAGATTTAATTGGTGTCCCAAATTCAATTTTTAGCCATATGATTTCTCCTGGAATAAAGGAACTGCCTTGTTTGAAGTGATTTGGTTTGATAGAAGGACATATTGGCCAGACAGCATATGGGCTCTCAGTCACAGCTGAGACTGTGCTATTGGAGGAGTTTTGCTCTTTAAACCTCTCTCTCTTTTTAGCTAGCTAGCATAGCAGTGGATCCTTTTGTCTGCCTTTTACATTTTTCAAACCGCAAAATGAAACCGCCAACTGGAACTTTGTGCTTATTAATTTATTGAAGCAAAATGATGCATTGACATAGAATTGAAGACAATGTCATCAAATATTTTCCTGCTTAAGGCAGTAATCAATTCATTCTAGCCAAATCAAGTCAAGTCAAGTCTGCTTTATTGTCAATTCTTCCACATGTACAGAGCCCTAGCTGTCTTCAAGCCCACCTAATCTCCAGCTCTGAAGGCAGCGTTCCGTGTCTTCAGGAGTCCGTAGACCTCCCCTGTTAGCCACGGCTTCTGGTTGGCCCGGACAGTGATGGTCTTTGTGACTGTTACATCATCAATACACTTGGTGATGTAGGCAGTGACAGTCTCTGAGTACTCCTGGAGGTCTGTGGTGTTATTGTAT